ATGAATACTCGCGTGCTGTTATGGCATTCGCTCGAAGACATGAGGACACGGTTTGTTCATCTATTCGATTATTTTGTTGGACTGACACTTTGACGGAATTTCTGTTCAATTGTTCAAGTTCTTGCTCATTTTTGATCATTTTGAAAAAATTCCGATTATTTTGGAAAAAAGGATTTCTTCGCGCTTTTCCTCTCCATTGAGAAGTAAATAATGAATTCACGCAAGCGGATTGGTTTCATGAACGAATATTTGAATGACTAAAATAGGCAATAAAAGTGATGGTGAGTTGTGTGTCAAGTGGGAGAGGAGTTTTATTGTGACGAACGATATTGCATTGAATGTTTGCGGTAATGAACGATTGAGTTTCAGTGTGATGCACCGAAAGTGGATGCGATAAAGGGTAATGATGGTCTGGCGGTGATGTTCGTCACTCAGATTGTTCGCGGGCTGGTTTCGTTGCGCTCATTCGACATCTACGAGCCAGTAGTGTACGTTTGTGGACGAGTTAGTCTACCGAGTGAGTGCCCGGGCAGGGAGAAACCAGGCGCTGTGTTGCCTTTTGTTATCTTGTATAGGTGAGTGTGCATCATTTCACTGGGTCTTTGCTTATCTTATCTTTTTTTTTTTTTGAAATTGTATCTGTTTTATGTCATTTCTTCGGTGTTATCTTTGATGTTAAATATCTATACGTTCTACAGTTGTGAATATCTATTGATTAGATATGCGTTTATGTGTTAAATATGTAAATGCGAACATTTGATTTGAATTGAATTTATATTCATTTAGTGATCTGTATTTGGATGGTGAGAGTACGCCAACGAATCTGTGCATTGATATGCGTAAGATGGGAAGTGTGGCACGTTTTGCGCGTCGTTCGTGTCATCCGAATGTGAAACTGCAACATTTCTTCTGTGGTGGTAAACTGCATATTATTGCGAGTGCAACGGAAAAAGTTGAACGTGGTGATGAGGTGAGTAGTCGAATGGTTGTTGTTTTTTTTTGCAACACAGTGATGATTGATCTCAAATTGTTATCAATAGCAGCCATGGCATGTTTGATCCTTTCATCGCTATTTTGTTGATTCGTTTCGTTTTTCGTTTATTCTCTTTCTTTCAATGCTGAAATTGTTGTGCAAATGGATGGACGATAGGCGGTGATTGGAAGAAAGGAAGGAAG